CAATCCCAAGTCAATACGCTGACCAATCAGAGTCTATCTGCCTAATCTGAGATCTAAGATTGACGGATAATTGTTCTTGCCACATCTCCCTGCGAATAAAGAACCAACCAATCAACACCCACTTCTCTTGCTGTCCAGCCTGTTTCTTGCATCATAGTCCCCATGATGATAAGATGAAAAGTCTGGACTTCTCCTCTTGTCTCCTTTAGCAATATTTAGGGTAAAAATATTAATCTTAGACCCAATCCTCTTCTTTTCAAATTGGAGGTAAGGTATTGTGTTAATTGCTACTTTATGTGCCTTCACTCTGGAGTCATTAATTAGTCCTGCCTCATCACACCACAACAAATCTAATACAACCTGGTCTCTGGTCAGTTCCAGAATGTGTGCTGCAGGGTGTACGGTGGCTTAGTCGTTAGCACTGCTGCCTCACTGTGCCAGGACCTGGGTTTAATTCCAGCCTCAGGCAACTATCTGTGTGGAGTTTTCACATTCTTGCCATGTCTGCGTGGGTTCCTCCAGGTTTTACAGTTTCCTCCCATAATCCACAGATGTGCAGGCTAGGTGGGATGGTCATGGGAAATGCAGAGTTACAGGGACAGGATGAGTCTGGATGGGAAGATTTTTGAAGAGTTGATATAGACTTGATGGGCTGAACAGCCTGCTTCCATACTATAGCGATTCAAAGAAATAATCTCAAAAGCATCCTGCAAGGACTGTTCCTCCATGACACCCCGGTCCACTTCTCTGTCACTCTGAACACTTCCTCACACATCCATGCAACTTTCCCATGCAATTGCAGAATGTGTAACTTGCCTATTTACCTCCTCCCTCCTCATTGTCCAAATCCCTTAACACACTTTCCAGGTGAAGCAGTTTTACTTGCACTTTTTTTAATCTAGTCTGTTGGATTTGGTGCTCACAATGCAGTTTCCTTCACATTGGCAAGACTAAATACAGACCACTAGGCTGCTTTGCAGAGCACCTCCATTCTGTCCATAGGAATGACCCTAACTTTCCAGTTGCTTACCATTTCAATAAGCCACCTTGTTCTTTTAGAGATTACAAGGTATAGAGCTGGATGAACACAGCAGGCCAAGCAGCATCAGAGGAGCAGGAAGGCTGACGTTTCGGGCCTAGACCCTTCTTCAGAAATGGGGGGGAGGAAGGGGGTTCTGAAATAAATAGGG